GGGGGGGGGGGGGGGTTGAGCTGTAAATGTAGGTTTTTTAAATTAAATGTAAATGATTTTAGTGAATCAGGATTGAAATTCCTATAAATAGAATTAAAGCATTCTGTATAGGAGTCTGTCTAGGAAGTTATTTCTAATTATCAGAAGATTTTTTTTCTGATCATTGAAGGTGATTTGTTTCCTTCTATGTAACCTTTTACCATGCTAAAAATACCTCTGTAATATCATTTTGAAGTTATCAATGAAAATCATTCTATTCTCCCTTCAGATTGTGATTTTCTACAAGATTCATTAGCACTTAATGAATACCAAATTAACTCAAATAAACTTTTTTTATTACCATTTGACCATGTATTTGCCATGAACAAACAACGGAAGAGATTTTAATATAGAAAAGGAGAACAGAAAAACAGCTATTTATGTGAGACAAAGCACCGTAGGCAAGGATGCTGGGGCATAGGTATCATCATCCTCTGCAATAACCAGAACCTCATCACCTTCTTGCAGAACATAGGAGTCATCTGGATTCAAAATAATTTTACCACCATATGATGCAACTTTGATTCCACAAGGAATTGCAGCTGGAAAGCTGATTAATACATCCTCGAATTGCATGCCTTCCAACTGTGGCCATCTTTTGATGTAGAATTCACAATTTTCAAATCCAAGTATATCTTCCCAAATCTGCCAAAGAAAATCATCAATTTTTATAAAAAAAATCTTAATAAAGGGATAAATTTTTAGAGAGAAGATGCGGAGATCAATATCTCATCCTAAACTGTAGCGGAAAAAGAAAATAAAGTGGAACATGACCAACCCAATAAATATTCCGTCACTCTAAATGTCTGAATTAACATTATGAATTATGCAACCTAAAAACACCATGGAGTGGTAGTAGATTTTGACCTGTGCAAGTCCAGGCTGCCGAGCACATTGAATCATCAAGCGACCAATGACATCATGAGCTACAACAGTTTCAACAAGATCACCACCCACAAGTTTAACGAGGACCTCATTGTCTAGATCACTCAATTCAACCACTATGTGTCCTTGTAAACCTTCTTTTACTCCAGTCAGACTTAAGACTGTTCTCAAAGCACGGGCATCACTCTGTACGAACAAAAGCAAGTCAATGGTTATACACCCTTATTAAACTTCAGAAGATCATCAGTCTATCTACCAGACCTGATCAGCATTCCCATCTTCAGCAAGGACTATTATTGCTCGTGCTTTTGAAACAGAAACCTGTAAATCACATGGGTTTAGCAAACAAATATACGAATTAAAACTGGGCAACTTGCAACAAATGAAGAAAAATAACACAACATTAAAAAATGCATTTAGCAGTAATTGGATAAAGTGTCAAAACTTGAACAAAGCAATATCCACAGTTTTCAAAATGGCATTATGTGCGAGAAGACTTTGTGAACAGGTTGTGCAGTATAGTAATTAAACTCTTCAGTCCGCATTCATCTGATAGATAGTAGATACTGTTTCAGAATGTAGAGATTAATGGAAAGAAAGGGAGGGAATTTTCTTAAATATGGTCCTTATACTCTGGTCTCTACCACCCAAAACTAATTGACCAACTTAAAATTTACTTACATTTGCTTCCTTTGTTTATATCCTACCTTTGCTACCATAGTTTGGGAGCTAACTAACTATAAAAACTTCTCTAACAATTTCAACTAACAAGCCTGTTAAGATATTGTGGAGATTTATTAGGGTTAATCATATCTTAGCTAATCATTTCATATCATATCAGCTAATATCATATAATATCATATCATATCATATAATGTAAATCCTTTTTTTTATTATTATAAATAAGAGTTATGTGTGTTGAAGATTGATACACAATTTCTAAATCACAACGAAGCCAACTGAGGCTGGCCCACTTGGCCCTTTCGGTCATTCTTATTTCTTCTAACATATACTTTCCTAATAAGGACATGCTCAGCCTTAATTGAGTTCGATATGAATCAATGTGAGGCTGACCACTCTATTTTCTCCTTCACTCCTCATCTAGTCTTTGCATTTATTTAGTGGTATATTTTGATGACATTGTCATTGCTAGTTATGACTTTGATGGTATTTGTCGTCTCAAATGTCACCTTCAACACCAGTTTCAAATGAAAGACCTCGGTCCTCTGAAATATTTTTTGGGGATCGAGGTTGCTCAATCTGCTTTCGGTATTGCCATTTCCCAACACAAATATGCTCTAGACATTCTCACCAAGGCTGGTATGGTTGATTTTCGCCCTAGTGACACTCCGATGGACCCCCACGTCAAGCTTCTTCTGGGTCAGGGGGAGCCATTGGATGACCCGGAAAGATATCGTAAGCTTGTTGGCAGACTCAATTATCTAATTGTCATTAGGCCAAACATTGCATTCCCAGTAAGTGTGGTAAGCCAATTTATCTATGATCCTCGTGATAGCCATTGGACTGAAATCATGAGGATCCTCAAATATGTGAAGAAGGCGTCGGGTTGTGAACTCCTATATGAGGACAAAGACAATTCCAAAATTGTCTATTACTCTGATGTTGATTAGCTAGAATCACCATCTAATAGAAGGTCTACCTCTGGCTATTGTGTTCTAATTGGAGGTAACTTGATTTTGTGGAGAAGCAAGAAGCAAAATACAGTTGCTAGAGGCAAAATATCATGCTATGGCAACAACTACGAGTGAAATTACAGGGCTATAACAACTTCTCAAGCAACTCCAAATTGGAGACACTTAGGGAACTAAACTCATATGTGATATTCAAGTTGCTTTTCACATTGCCTCAAATTCGGTCTTCCACAAGTGGACTAAGCACATAGAAATAGACTGTCATTTTGTAAGAGAGAAAGTGCTCTCAAGAGAGATCACAACTGAGTTCTAATAGAAACCTGTCAAGGTCCAATATTTTAAAATATGATTTTCAATTGATGGAAGGCCCAATGACTAGAAGAAGATCAAAAAGAGTTAAAAATAATAAATTGAAGAGCCCAATCAGCTCAACACCAGTTACTAAAGATGCTACAGTGGGCTAGACTTTATTTGGATGATTTACTTAGCTTTTGGGCTTAAAACTATTTAAGCCTATTTTCTTATTTTTATTGTAATTTTCGTATTTTATTTTAATTAAATAAGTTCAGATGGCTTTTCATATTGCCTAGGTCAGTTTAGAGTGTCATTAGGCTTCCTAGTGGAAAATAAATGTTAGTGGGATTTTATTGCCTAGTACAGCTTAATGGAACTTAGTGAAAATTTATTACATGTAAGTCATAGGTTGCTTATCTTAGCCTATAAATAAGAGTATCCTGTAAGCATCCAAATGAGATTTGAAATCAATACATATCTGAGTTTTCTCTTTGTGAGAGTTTTTCTTTTATTCTTGGATTAGAACTTTATAGTATTGGTTCTACCGGTAGGTCGCGGTTAGAGTCACACTTCTCTTTTGATAACTTTGGTTCTACCGACAGGTCGTGGTTAGGGTCAAGTTTCTTTCTTTCCTATACTTGTTTCAAGACGATTCATTCATGTTTCAAAATCGTATCAAGTTCATCCACTCCAATGACCAGTTAGCAGATGTTTCAAAATCGCATCAAGTTCGTCCACTCCGGTGACCAGTTAGCAAATGTATTCACAAAATCACTTAAAGGGCCTCAGGTTGATTACATTTTTAACAAGTTTGGTGCATATGATATATATGCTCCAGCTTAAGGGGGAGTATTAAGATATTGTGGAGATTTATTAGGGTTAATCATATCTTAGTTAATCATATCATATCATATAATATAATATCATATCATATCATGTAAATCCAATAAAAGTTATGTGTTGAAGATTGACACACAATTCCTAAATCACAAAAAAGCCAACTGAGGCTGGCCCACTTGGCCTTTTCATTCATTCTTATTAGTTCTAACATATACTTTCCTAATAAGGACATGCTGCTAAGAGCTAACATGTTCCAAAATTGCAATCTGTACGAGTTCTTACAGCAGCAGAAACAGATTTGGCTAAACTGACTAATAACAAGTTTAATTTGCTTCAGCTCTGGCAACTGTAATTGAACCAATTACTTCAAAATATAGGGACCAACTTAATCAGTTTAGTTGGTCTGATCCCTAAAAGCCAACCAACCAAACTGGCAAACAAATCAATTATGTTACAATTTTCACATTCCTTTGTTTTCAACTCATTCATGGCTCAGGGCTCTACTGAACTTTTACCAAAACAATAAAACAAGTTTAATTATTTAAAACATATTTGAATAAGCCAAACAGCCTCTGTTAAACAAATGTGAATATTCCTCCTCGCAATTCCTTGCAGATCACAGAAATGGGGTAAATGCAGATTAATGTGCACATTAGCAATAGAACTCATAATTTTAACAATTAAGCCAAGATTGTCAAACTCAAGATTCTACGTAAACTCGTGAAGCTTCTATGGACTTGACTCATAGGCTCAAACCGTAAACGCATAAGAGTTTACTTATTATAAAAATAAAATTAAAAAAACCTATTAATGACATATATATGCTCAACATAATACACTTAATACAACAATAATTCAATGTTTCAACTTTCAACTCCATAAAAAGGAAAAAGTACTAAACTACAATAATAAAGTGTTATAGTACATTAGTACCGAATATGATTAAACTACGTAAGTGATCAAATTATATATAATTTCATAAAACCATAGTTCCTAAAGTGAAATTACTTCAAAAAGAAGTTGGTTTCTTCAAATCATTTTTCTCATAGTAAAATACTAACACTATGGAGTCAATAGGAGCAAAAATGACATTTGAATTAACTTGAGAATTTATAAGAGTTTACACAAATTTAAAGAGTTTACTCAAAAAACAGTTTACTATAGGGTTAACTCATTTTCTCTACTTGAGATCCTAAACTTGGAAGAGTTTACTAGTTAACTTGAGAGTTTGACAACTTTGCATACAGCAAATAACAATTCCAAAAGGTAAGAGTAGATCCTATACCTTTTTCAGGTCAGCCAGAATCAGAGGGCTGCCACTTCTGCATATGACAGAGGTTCCTTTGAAATCAAACTCCATTTTTGCAATGTCAAGCTCCATTTCCTCCTTGTCTCGTTCAGCCATGACTGCTACAGTTCCTCCACCCAGACTCTCGTTAGCTATGGCAAGCTGATTTAGTAATGAACCCTGCACATCCAATCATGTTATTTGCGCTCAACATATGTGAGTATTTCAAAAAGCCAATCAATCTGGTAGATCACTTGGGAATAGAAACAGCAATAAATTCATATATATTTGAATTGTTTAAAATTAACTATCCATTAGTTCATCGAAAAATTTATGAGGATGGTTACAAGACATCCAATAGATGGTAGCACCAGAATCTTACCAATTTATCACTCCAACCAAGAATTAAAGTATGATTTTGCTCAACCACCTCACTTTTTCCTTTCCTCAGTGAGTCAAATTTCTCAGATATTGCATCGGACACAAGTCCAAGCATCATTGCAAATATAAGCATCCCACCAAAGCTAATGGAAACCGCAACTAACCTTGGACCAATACCTTGGGAGCTGGCATGATTGCCAGAATCGGCAACGTAGGTCCAAGATAACCAAAGGCAATGCGCTAAATCCTCTGTAGTTACGCCAAAAAGGGCCAATCCTCCAAGAAAAATGAGCAACAGCGTTGCAACTAACAACACGAGGGGTTTAGCATATGGATAAACTGATAAAAAGACATCAACCCGATAAGCAATTTGCTTGTTTAGAGAAACTTGTTCTGATATATTGTCAGAATATCTCGACTTTGATATATAGTCTATGTACTTGAATAGGATGAGAGGGATAAAAAGAAGTGTGAAAGACAAAAAAAGAGCTAGATTTCTTTTGAAGTTTTCACGTGACCAAGGATCAGCGTCCTGAGATATGGAACTTGTTACGTTCAGGGTGTCCAACTTGTGGCACGCATGTAATCTGAGATTAAGGCCGATAATCTCGCCCTACGAGAAAAAGTTTAGTTTGGTTCAGTTGTTATGGATGAAGGTTGAATTAAAGTGGAGATATTGAAGAGCATAATAGAACTATACAGTGTCTGGATTTAAGATGAAAGAAAGAGCGTATATTATATTTATAGGAGTTGCCTTGCCTGCAACTTAATGACTTTGCTTTCTAGATGCATATTCCGGAGCAGCAGCAACAAAAAACCAATAGTCAACGTCTGCCCCCACACCGACATGAAACATGAAACAAGAAACAGTGAGAGAGAGACAGAGAAACAGAAAGAGGGAAGAGCATCCTAGTACCTACCACAAGGGCAAACTGGAAACGAAATTGCGAATGGCAGATAAGGTTATTCTTCGCAGTTGACTTAAAATTTTTAGTGTCGGAAACCTGAGGTTTGTCATTAGCGGGAGTGGGAGTTGGAGTCCGGGGGAATTTAACTCTGCGGCGATGGCGAATGCGAGTGGAGGTCGGAGGAGAGTAAGGCTTTGAGTTTGAATAGAATCGACGGCCATATTGTGAAGCAGAGGAGCGCAAGAATGAGGGGGACGGGAAGAACCAATCTCTGCTGGAAGCCGATGTCTCCGAGTCGAGGGACATATTCGGATGTATAGCTTTTCCATGCGTTGTTAACAAAACATCAAAGATATAGGAAAACAGTGCCAGTTTTGTCCGACCAGCTGAATTTGATATTATTTAGATGCATATTCATATGCTTAATTTGATTTCGTAAACGGCAAATCTAATTTACCCGAACACACTTTTAGAGGATATATATATATATATATATATATTAGACTTAAACTTGTGGTCGGAAAATAAATTATTATAGTTAATAAATTTTATTTTAATAATTAATATATAAAATTATGAAAATTAATTAAATTTAATGTAACATGAAAATAAATATCTGAATATATATACAAATAAAATGATAATGATAAACGATTAAAAACATGATAATATGAAGTATTAAGAAAACTAAATTGCATTATGTTTCAACTTCAAAAATATTAACATTTACAATATGAGCTAATGTATTAACCTGGAAAAAAAAACCTTATAATTAACTTATAAGAGGTATAATACTAAAATATTATAAAGATGTAGTAATTCAAATAAAAATAAAATTAAATTAAATTTTTTACCTTATACAGTAATTATGAAATGACTCCTGAACACATTCATCATGAAAAATAAATTTGGTTAAATGCCTAAAAAATTGGTAAAATTAGAACTAAAGTATACATGTTTTCCTTTTATAATAATAAAAAAATGCAAATTACCTATATTAGAGTCTGAAAGACTTCTTTATAAACTACATTAGTAGTTGATGTTGAACCATTTATCTCATCGTCACAAATAAGAATTTTTAAACCATTGCGAGATGTGACTCGAGATATTGCAACATATAATTGGCCATATGAGAAAACAGGTTGTGAAAGATAGATGGCATAATGCTTCAATGATTATCCGTGGCTTTATTTATTATCATGGCAAAGGAGACATTTATTAGAAATTGTCTACGTTGAAATTTGAAAGAAATTCTCTTATTTGATGAAATTAAGGACAATCGAGGAATAAAAACTTTTTGTCCAATATTGTTGTCTGATATCACTTTTGCCTCCAAAATATATTTACCCAACTGAGTTATGATAAGTCTAGTTCCATTACACAACTCAGAAGATTGATTTATATTTCTCAACAACATTATCGAAACACTGACTTTCAATTTTACCTCATGATTTGAAAGTCCGGAAGTAATGATAGTATTAAGGAATTCAGGGGTATGAACATCATTAGGTGTACCTAATTGCCCTTCAGTAGAACATGTACTATTTGAACTCAAATATGACTTTAATTCTCCAGGAATCAATGATAGTATGTAATCATTTAATTGGTTAATAATTTCATTTGTTGGTGCTAATATGACTTTATGTTGGAAAAACGTGTAGTCAGTCATGTTTCCCAACAATGATGAATAAGTGCTATCAACAATTGATGAAAGAGGGTCACCTGTATTCTTTATAAGCAAATCTTCAAGAAATTCAATGTTCATTTCTTCATCATCTCCTTGACCAACAGTTCCATCACCGATGCTCAACACCCAAACTAAAAAATTTTAATCTCTACAACATTAGAAATTGAATTGGTAATCTCTACTAATGGTAAAATTAAATTTTTAAACCTTTATATATTTCTGACCTTAATTGCTTTTGGTGAGTTTTTACATAATTCAATTTGGCTGACTCAATCATGCTATAAGCATCCACAAAAAATTGTTGAAAAAGCCTTTTGGAGTACAACAAAATTACCTGCTTATCTCCTCTTTGTTGAATTTATGAGCAAAAAACTCCCTCATGGATACCTTTTCCCTTTTTTTGGAAGTGTCTATTGTAGCTTCATTTAATGGAATGTCATCACTGTATCCATCCTCTCCACGTGGGAACATAAGTGGATAATGCAGTGGTAAATAAGCATAACTTACTACAAAAATTTGTTGCAGGTATCCTTGTTGAGTCTCTAAAATAATGTCTTTCTCACCATTACCTACATCAAAATCACCCACAACTAAAGACGCAACCTCAGACGTAATTGGAAGATTATACCTCCTACCATCCTTTCCCCTTTTCCCTATTATTCTCAATTTCAGGTTGCATGCATTACTTTCCTTTAGACGATCTTGAAGCATCCTATATGTTTGAACATAAGGATTATGAGAGTCAAGCATCTCTTTAATGTCAGACACTATTTCTGTATGCAATGGATTAGAATTTTTATCCATCCTACAATATAATAGAATAAAAAACCATTTAAGATAAGGACTCAACACATAAATTGAGTATAGAAATTTCAGAAAATAAATAAATAATATATCCAAATGTATCAATAATTACCTAGCAATAAAAATCTTGTTAGTAACTTCATTTTCCGTGTCATATATGTACAATTGAGAAAATTTGGGTTGCTCTCCTGGATTAGGAAGCAAACTACCAATTCTATGATAATTCTCACCACTCATGACAAAAATTGGAGGACCTGATTCATTATTTAACGATCCATCTATCTTACCCCCATAGAGGTGAATGAAAACATCATGTTAAATGATAATAGCTTACTCTTTGTGTCATTCTTGAAGTAAAGATCCATCAAAGATTGAGGTGCAGGCAACAAATCAGGAAACTTTATTTTACCTTGCATGCAACACAAAGAGAAACTAGAGTTTGCTGGATTGTAACATTTTTCCACTCTCTCAGAATATAACATCATTGCTCCACATTCTTGGCATTCACAAGTAGGATTACCAATATCACAATAAACTGTTTATTATTATTATAAGATAATAATAAGCCTTCATGTAATTAATAGATTAATGGTTAAAATATGAAACTTAAAATAAAATACAATATTGAAGACATACAATCGGTAGTGAATGCATCTTCATGTATTCCATCAATGAGTACATTTTGCTCTGAAGTTCTCATTAATCTACGCCTGTTCCATATTCCTTTCTGTGGTTCTCTCCCTTGTGCATGGTTATTATGATTTGATTCACATTCTTCGAACAACATGTCATCAAATTCATTTTTTTGATTTGACGTGCAATTTGCTCTCTGGCTAGATAATATCTTAACTATAAAATAACAACCTAAAAGGATAATCAAATAAGAAATGGTAAATATAAACATTATAAAATTAATTAATATATTTATATTAAAAGAGATAAGACTCCATAAATTACCATTTGTGACATTCGACAATGAAAATTGAGTAAATTGTTCTGTCATACATACACCTCTTCTAACAACTCTATTTAAGACAGTGTTAGATCGATGTACAATATGTGTATTATCATTAACTGAAAAAAAACTAACCTTGTAAATAAGTTTCTCCATAAATAATTTTGAGAAATAAATAATAGATAAAAAAATTTTGTTTAGTACTAACCTGTTAACCTGGCAGTTGTTACATCAGAAGATTGAGACATATTACATCGACGTTGCATAGGTGCAACTTTACTAAATAATAGTTTATTTCTAGCAAAAGAGGGGGAAATATTTTGACTGTTGGCACCAAGTAACAATGATAACAAAATATGAATAATCATTAATTTTCAAACATTTAAATAGAATGAGACATCTTTTACAGAATTTAATTTTACCATTAGTAATATCCGACAATAGAATACTACATAATTCTACTTTATTAGATGCACTTCCTCCAATAAAATTATTTAGATAATGCTCACGGGAATGATCACTTGGAATAGTATTTCCTGCAATTGTAAAATGTACACTCATATATTAATTACATTTTAAAGTGCTTTATATAATTAAATACTTTGACAGAAAAATATTTTTTATTGTTAATATGTAACATTAGGACATACTATCACTCATCATTGGTGACATTTGAATGACACATTCTGACACATTTATTGCGATTACAATATTGAACATCTTCACCGGATGATTTTGAGTTATTTCACTTTTTTCCAACATTATCATCTATAACACTGCTTGTTTCTGAATACTCAAAATCTGAAGAAACTAAAGAAAATGTTAAATATCTATTATAAACAATGTATAATGTTTAGCATTGAAAGCAAATTTAAGAAGTGCAACCTGGCAATAAATAAAATTATTTATTTATTTTCTTAAATGACTCTCGCTTGGGAGCCAAATCTAAAAGGACAATATTACCAAGGGGTATGTAGTGTACTAACAGAAGTCAAATCCCACCTATTAAGTTTCATTTTTTCCTTTTTAAATTAACAATTAAAACCTTCCAAACAATCATAAAGAGTTATACAACAACCCTTTATCTTTTTAATATGAATCAAAATCATAAACATTTAGAAAACTATAATTTGGCAAGCAAATAAAAGGTTAGATAATTTAAAAATCACCTGCATGGTATATGTTTGGCAGTAAATAAATGAGACAATAGAATCTTTAGCATTGAAAGAGGAAAAAAATGTCATATTGAGAAAATAATAGTCACAGAGGAAGAAATATATATATAGTAGAAATTTTCAAAAAAAAAATTCAGTATATGTATGAGGCATAACATGTTCAGCTTTGTACTACCTATGACATGATAAAAAATGAATAGCTTCTAACATAATAATATATAAAAAAAAACCTCTCTTCATCCACCAAAATCATCTCTAAGGAATTTGTTTACAATGAATTCTTAAACTCTAGCAAAATTGAATCGAATAAGAAATGAGTTGGCAGCAAAATAGAAAGGTCAAATTGGAAAAATCAAACAACACTACATAGAAATTCATTGATTAAAAATGCAAGAATACAACATGACTACCGTAGTAATTAGCCTTAAACAAAATGTTTTGAACGTTAAAAGTTGCCGGTAAGTTTTTTATAAAAAAGATATTGAGGTGTAAAATTTGGTTAAAAAGAAAAAATTGAAAGATTTGAATGAGACTAATTTCATTTGTTTTAAAATAAGGTTATTATTTGAATTATAATATGTAAAAATAATTAAAAGAATAAAGGTAAGAATACATTAGTTTCTAAAAAATAACATACGTGCAAAATTTTTTATCAATGTCCTTACTAAAATCATTGACTCATTGTAATTGATTCTAAAATTTTTGGTGAAGATGAAAATTTCAAACAAAAGCAAAAACAAAAACTACACTATCTAACAATGAAATT